TTAGAGATACAGGCCTGGTTCTGGCACCAAATTAAAGTCCTTTCAAAACCCTACATTTCAAAACCCTACATTTTCGACTACATGGACGACTCTCTACTCCCAGTAGAAGCGGAGATATCAACGCAGAAATGTTGGAAAACTTTAACCTTCGATATCTTCTAAACGGTTAGAGATACAGGCCTGGCTCTGGTACCAAATTAAAGTCCTCTCAAAACCCTACATTTTCGACTACATGGACGACTCTCTACTCCCAGTAGAAGCGGAGATATCGACGGAGGAAGGCTGGATATCGACGGAGAATGGCTGGAAAACTTTAACCTTCGATATCTCCTAAAGGGTTAGAGATACAGGCCTGGCTCTGGTACCAAATTAAAGTCCTTTCAAAACCCTACATTTTGCCGTAAATGGCGACTCTCTACTCCCAGTAGAAGCGGAGATATCAACAGCGAAATGTTGGAAAACTTTAACCTTCGATATCTCCCTAACGGCTAGAGATACAGGCCTGTTTCTGGCACCGGCGATTCTCGCCGATTTTCGTGCTGAGGGACATGGAAATATTCGACTCGTGGGACGAAAATCGGCGAGAACTCTTTCAATTTTGGTTTTAGCGCTCCGAGTGTTAATAATAACCTTCGGAACTCGTGAGCGGCTAACCAGAACTCTAAATGAAACATCGGTTTCCGAAAAAAAAAATTTTTCGTGTTTAATAAGCAATCAATTTTTTTGAAAATCCGATGTTTTATTCAGTTCTGATTAGCCTCTCGCGAGTTCTAAAGATTATTAACACGTGACGCGCTAAAACCAAAATTGGTAGTGCTCTTGCCATTTTCGTTTTCTAATACGAGAATTTTTATTATAATTTTTCTTATTGTTTTAAACAGAACTATTTTTAAAACTTATCTAGAACTATAGAACTATTAAAAATCTATCTAGAATTCTAAAAAAATTGTCATTTTTTACATATTGAGGGGCGTGAAGTTGGTCTTCGATTTTTAAAATGGTATTTTCTCTACTTTAAATGACGGAACTCTTTCTATAAAGGATTCTACTCGAACTCTAGAACTCTGCGAGGGGCATTCAGAACTCTAAAAATTTTTTTCAAATTTGCAGAATGTAGGGCCATCTTCACAGATGTGATGGGGCGAACACATTCTCTGTCTCTCTTTTGCTTGGCTCGTCGAAACAAGTCGAGCGGTGGGCGGGGTCTCAGAAGAAGTGTCATCGACGAAACGTGCAATGCTTGCGATGCCCGTGTGTTGTATGCAATACATGCATTTTCTTAAAAAATGAAAAAAAATTTATTGTGATACACGTATGTTGTATGCAACACGTGCATTTTCCTAAAAAACGAAAAAAAAAGATTGGCGAAAAAGGACAACGCCGACCGCCAAGGAGGTGCGAACCACCGACCTCAACCCCATGAGTCCAGCGTACTTCCACCAAGCCACACGCTCTTTGAGAAGATCGCTCCTTAATTTTGTTCATGTATCACTCGCGATTTTCGATCGCGACTTTCTTGCAAACGTTTCAATGCTACGCCGTATCTTTAAGTGCAATGTTAATTTGTCATGCAAATCTATCGACACAACGAGTTTAGTCGAAATCGATTGCTATTGATCATCTCGTTGGATTCACGCCGAGAGTGAAACGTCAGTCTCGGCCGTGTGTCGGGAAGCACAATCTCGGCAACGTTGCGAATCAGAGCGAGATGGAGCGAACACATTCCCTCTCTTTCTCTCTTTCGCTTGGCTCGTCAAAACAAGCCGAGCGGAGGGCGGGACTTCAGACGGATAGACGGGAGCAGTTTCTCTGTGTGTGTGTGCCGCTACATTCTTACATAGAAACATACGGCAATTGAAAATGTTTAAGCATATACCCTGAGATTCTATCTGTTGCGTATGACACGTGTGTGTGTGTGTGTGTGTGTGTTGTGTGTGTGTGCGTGTGTGTGTGTGTGAGTGCGTATATGCACACGTACGTCACGCACACTTTCAATGCAACACATGCACACGGACACAACTGCGCTAAAAAACGCCTGCCAGAGTATAAATAAATACTAACGTAACGCTGAAATATTTTGGAAAAATAATTTTAGGTACACACAAAATATTATCTTATTATCATATATTTATATATCGATATAAATCGTATATAATCTTCATGATATTAATCATATACAATTTCAATTCTTATTTTTTTTGTGCATGTTAACATGTTAATTCAAGTTACAAATGCATAACAATGCGCGAGACCGTGCTTGTCAAGTACGCTATTATGGTTGTAGCACGGACATAAACCGCCTGAAAGTGGATGTAGCACGGACAGCCACCAGATGCAGGTTTTACCGTCGAGACCTAAAAGTGAATATAGCATTGTAGTTCCTCTCTCAAAATGGATGCAGATAGCGCCCATTCCCAGTGCGAAAAATCGGTGTCGCCGAAAACGCCATGTTGGCCGTTCTCAGCTTCCTCTCTGCTGAAAACCTCAAATCTTTCAAGCGGAACATCAAAATTTGATGAAATATTGCCTCATTTTTGGCATGAGTGACGTAACAGAAGAATACATGATTTTTTCAGATCTATTTTTTATAGATGCACCAAGTGTCAAATTATAGTGCAGGCGGTGCAATGTAGTATATTCATAAAGAGCAAAAGTTTTGATAGCCTTACTTTTGTTGGTAAAACTGGCCAATGACATTTCACTTTTCATTTTGACATGCGTATCAGAGAGAAGAAGGAGAGGTATGTCATGGGCCGCTTTGAGCCGAGCTCAGTGTGAGGCGCCTTCTGTACAACCGTGCACATGAACTACCAATGTCCACGACTCTTTTCTGATTTCCCCCACCACGCACGCACACATAGCCGGCTCAGTCTATCCGTGTGGACCACGCGCTCGGCAATCGTCGGCGCGCCGAGCGACAGAGAGATATCATTCCCTCCTTCTCGCTCTCGTGTTCGCGCAGCGACGCGAGCGAGAATATTTTTCGCTCTTTCTCGCTCTCGTTCTCGCTTCAGGGCCAGAGCACAGACTTTTGCATAACACATAATACACAACGCATAAGAGAATCAACCAATCAGAGTTCTTCATTTCTGTCCTGAAGAGGGAAATGAAGAAAACTAATTGGTTTATTCTCTTATGCGTTATGTGTTATGCCTGTGCTCTTGCCCTGATGATTGGTAGGCTACAAGACAATAGATACAGAATTCCAACTCGTCGGAAATTTATAGTAAACGAATTTATTTCAATCTATAGAAATAAATTCTGACAATATTGATTGCACCGGACAATATTCATTCATTCTAAGAGGAACAACTGGAGTGATAAGCTGCTCTTGAATAGTATCGATACTCGATACCACATTTTCGATAGATTGCTATAATCTAGAGAGAGAAACAGTGAGACAGAAGAGAGATAACGATTGAAGAAGTGGGAGAGAGAGTGAGACGGGTAAAGAGAGGGTACGCAAAGTAGATAGCATGCAGTAATACTCTGCAACAGTGCATTTAGTTGCCGCGCGAGTGTGAATAGTATTTTTTCGATGAATTAGAATAAATATGCGCTGTCTAATACGTCTGTGTGTCCTCGCGATTTTGTTGTTGCATAGTATAGAGGCGAATAACGATGAAGCGCCATTAACCAAACTCGGCGGGAAGACAGGGCCAACCTTAAGATTCTTTTATTGGTAAGATTAACGACTCGCTTGTTAATTCGCACGAATAAACAATGCGATCGCAGCCACAGACGCTCGTCATTGGGCCTATAAGATAATAGATATGTAACGATTGTCCATGGCTACACGTAATATAAACCTTTCAAAGACGCTTGTTTCTTGCAAATTATCGTAAAAGAATGTGGCTCCAGCTCAAGTTTCATACATTACTATTGCATCATCCAATAAATATCCATTTCTTCTGTTTTTACAGCTATTCATGCGGCTACAGGAAAGTATATGATCAATATGTGAACATTCTTAGGCAAAAGTATCCAGAGCTTCATATTGAAGGAGAGAACTTTCATCCACCTGGCTATAATATGTTAATTGCCAGAGTGCTGGTAACAATACCTATAATAAATTAATAAAGCTTTGCCAAAAAAACTTTAGAGTTGGAGCTCTACGGTTAGTACTGATTTATAAATCTAATGATCACATAATTTTGTGTTTAGGGAACATTGAAAATATTGATTATTATCCTAATTATAAGCGGGGTTGATTTCGGTCGCCCTGCACCATTTTTGTGGCAATGGTGCATAGAGAATCGATTTTATTCCTGTGTATTGATTTTCCTAATCTGCAATGCCATAGAAGGGCAGCTAATTTCATCAGGTGCATTTGAAATACACTTTAATGGTTTGTATAATTTCTGCTCTATTTTCAATACAATTATTTTGAAATTGGATGTTGAAGCAATATATTTGTCATATATAATTTTCAGATGTACCTGTGTGGTCAAAGCTTGAAACCGGTAGGATACCACAACCACTAGAACTATTCCAAATAATTGATTTCCATTTAGAAATGCAGTTTACAGAACGGGACGTAGGCAAAATCAGTTTTAATAAGTAAAACATAATTTCATTACATTCTTGGAGATTAATAAATCCAGTCACATACCAATATAGTGCGATTCAATAAAATTTGCCGATGGTGTAATATGATGAAAATATGTACAATATACTTGTTAAGTAAGTAAAGACCTTGACATATATCATAGTATGTAATTCTAATAAGACTATTATATAAATAATGTAAATGTAATTGAAATAAAACTGTTACCAAACTTTTATTACAGGACTTCAATTACACTTTGTAATTCATATAAAAATTTTTACGATAAAATATAATACATTGTGTCTTGTCGTATATTCTGTGTCTGTTCATGTTTAACACTAAAGTCTTAAGGGCCAACTTTGATGAGGATATCATTTAATGTGCATGTTGGGAAGTGTATTGAAGTCCACTATATGATCAGTAATTAAGGGACGTGCTTCATATGTACAAATAGTTACACCGTGTTTGTGAGATGGAGTCCATTCTCCTCTTAAGCCAATGTAATAAATCCTAATCTGTTCCCCCATACCAGTGAAGTGGAGACTTAAATGATTTACAGATGAGAATTTGACTGTTCTGTAATAGAATATGTGTAGCTCCTACATCCTGTATATATATCTCTCTTATAAGCATTTTTTTTATAGTTAGATAGCTATGTTACAGCAATGAAAATTTTATAAGTCTTATGTATAAATCAAATAGAATATAAATGTGAACATACTTCACAGGATATTCGTCTAAACCATGTGGGTCCCTGTGTAACCGAAATTCCTGATCTGGAGAAATCACATTGTCAAACATCATGTTTGGTCGATTTTTATATCTATCAATATACATAAGTTTATAAATTAAAGATTACATCATACTTTGTTCCTTGAATATTATAATGTGTTATTTTCTTCAGAAAAGTTTGATTATACTCACAGTCTTACTACATTAGGTTCTAACTCTTCGTCTGCAATTACAATAATACTCTTCAATTTTACATTTCCTGTGAAACTGCAAAAGATTACAAATTGAAGTGATACTAAGTAATTTTCAATACAATATACGAGTATACTTACGGTATATTGAATAAAAGCTCAGCATCTATGTCACTTTCTACAAACTAGAATAAGAGTGAAACATGAAATTTAATAAAAAATTCTTACATAAATCCTTAGAGACATGTGAAAAGAAAACTACATAAATACTTTGGTTCTGTCTAATCGGTCCTCCCATTTTTTGAAGACTGTTGCCCCAGTACCTTCTGTACACTCATTTAGACATTGCACCCTAGCTATGTCTATCTTATCATACAAAGTACAACAGGGACCCGAATCTGCTTCTGTATGTTCACCGCAATTGTGACAACGATCCATTATCTAAAAATTCTATTAGCAATAAAATATTAGAATAAAAGCATATACTCGAAACATATCATGTTTAGAGATATGACTTTATAACCGCGGAAAATAAATAAAATATTGATAAGTTGTTCGTTATTTTTTCCAACATAACCATTACGTTTAGAAATGTTTCACGCTTTCAAGAATGACTATCAATATTTGAAGCGTTTGTTACTCACCTTAATTTACTTAGGGATATAAGAAGTTTACCGAGTAGCTGCTATAGGTTAAGATCACGCAGCAAAATTGTTTTAACAATGTAATTGCAATGAACGAATACTTTACGTGCGAATGGTAGAACCTTCTTGTCAGTAAAACAGTAGATCACGAAAGACCTGCGGTTAAATAGCTTTGAATGATTATTTACATCGAAGTTTGGTTTTTTTCCTCGTCCTTTTGCATACCATAACCTGTCGGTAAATAAAGTCTATATAACAAGAGACTGCTTTCTAATCTATATATCATTTGAAATGTCGTGATACGAATTTCCGTTACTTCGAATAAAAATTGTACGAATTGTACGAAAAATTGTTCGAATAAAATAAAAATTGACGATATGTACAATTTTGAAGTAATTTTTGAAATATAAACCGTATACCTATATATACATCGACTCCGTGTCTTATAAATATTTCTCAAAAAATATCGTTTGCAAAGTCATGATGTAAAGTTCCAACATGAATAAGTATAAACAGTAAATCATTTCCTTCTCAAATTTTTATTTACATTTCTTATAACAAAAATTGTATTATAAAAAAAGAGATAAACTGGATGGTCAACTTAGAAACTCTCCTTGCAGGAAGTAGTAGTTTAACTTTGAGGGAAAATTCTCGAAGTTTGCGTAATATATATATAAGAATTCGCGGAATATCTGTGTATGTAAAATGCATATATATTTAATATGTACAGCTTCCGACGAATATCATATATATGAGATGTTTATTGTTATTACACAATTATGAGGTTGTGCATTGTCCTCATAATAATCCTTTTATCCTTTGCGATCTTGACAAGAATAATGCACTATATCTCCATTCGGGTATCTCGCAAAAGCGCTGAAAAAATAAAGCCGATCAGTGTATATACTAAGAATAATCTATGAAAAATAATCGGATCGTATAAAGCCTTCGTACCTCTGATTGCCAAATCGTTTTTTGCAAACCGGGCATATATTGAATTCTGTCATAAGGACGTTTTGCGATTCGTAGTGCATCCGTTGCTCTTGTACTTGTAAATGCTCCGCATAAAGGAGCCCCTTGAGAACCTGCATTCTTCGTCTTGTATTCAAGTTATTCTGTAGGCTAACCTCTAGGAAGCGTCTTATCCTACCGATAGGCACAGAATCCGGCAATACTTCCAAGGCTTTCATGGGATTTATTTTGGAAGCGTTTTCTTCTAGCAATTGGAGGGCCATCTCTAAATCCGGCTGTGCTGTTCTTTGACTTTCCGTGTGACAACCTTTACAAAAGTATAAAAAATATTACCAGTGCGTATGTATAACATGTATAAATAAAATAGACGTTTGCAACGTCGAATTCAAAGCATGTAAATTGTATGTGTATATATAATTGTTAATTACCAGCCATTAGAACTCCTTCATTATCAGGTTTCAATAATTGTTGAATTAACAAGACGTAAACTTCATCGGCATTATCTGTCTGCTTCTGTCTGTCTGCACGATTCTGATCTTCAAGTATAATTTCTAATTAATTATCGTGTCACTTCTTTCGGGCGCATATAATTAAGAAATATATCTGATGTAATCCTTTCAAAATCTACACTTACTTTGGTACCTCGTATATACATTATGACAATATTGTATTGCACGTGGTATGTCGTTTAAGAGACTGATGTATATCGATATAGCTTGCTGATGACGACCAAGTCGCCCGAGTATGATCGCACGTTCTTCGAACAAACTGTCGAACGGAAAATGCACCAGTATCGTTTCCGGTGTATAATACGCTGACTTTTCCAGGAATTGTTGCAACTTCTGTCGAATGTGTTGCGATACTTCTTTTTCCGCCGGCGTCGCGTTCGCATCCATAGAGGCCAGGCATTTTTCTTTATACTGGTGTATTAAAACATTGTGAAACAGCGGATTGGTATCCTCCCAAACGTGTACCACATGTTCGAGATATTGTATAACCAAGTCCTTGTGACAACGCAGGAGGAAATCCAATATCTTTGGTCTAGGTAAATGTTCAACCTCCTGTGAGTGTGAACAGGGAGCGTGAGCGATATTGATTAATAAATAATCAAATGAAGCGGCAGAGAATGACGATACGTGACCTGTATATCCTCCATGAATATCCTGAGGCCCTGCTCGGGATCCTCTGCCAAAACCCACCCGGCAAACTTTAGGATCAGTTCCATGTGATCTTTGCCAAGATGCTGCAAATACTGTATAGTACGCTCGGTGCCTTTCAGACTAGAATCATTTTCTTTCGCGTGCTTCTCTAGCAGCTCCAGCGCCTTCTTGTGTTGTCCTTTAGTTTGGTACAATATAATGAGTTCTGGATATTTCTGATGCAGCAACAACGTTTTTTCAGCCTCCGCTAAATGACAATGATTTAGTCTGAGCAGAGGCGCCACTAAAGCATCAGTGGTCTGAAATAAAGTATGTCAAACATTCACTTTGAATAATCTATTGCGATCTAATCTCTTCGTAATCTAATATTTTTATTAAGTAAGAGTTATTCGACCTTTTTTACCTGCAAATAACACTTCAACAAAGTGGTGTCTATAATCTTCAGAAGCTGCTCTGTAGCCACGGCGGTTATATTCTTCTCTCCGTTTAATCCGTTCTTTTCCTTATTAAGTTCTTTGTCTTTTGCCATCAGCTTATGTCTGACTTCAGTAAGGAAAACTATCAACGCGCGTAAACCCTTCTCCAAATCGTGATCTTGCAACTTTGGCAGGCTCGGTGCCGGATCGTTAAGTTCGTGTGTATTGGTCGATGGTGTAACTAAATCCGGGAACAACCTGATTACCTCGTACGGGTCGGTTCCCAGTTTCAAAAACAAGTCCATCGCTTCTTGAAATCGTTTATTGTAGAACAGATGATGCGCGTATAACGTTTGTATCTTGTAGATCTGTTTCGATTTCTCCTCGTCCGTTATGTCTGACAAACTCTAAGATACAAAAGTTGTATAATTAATAACAAAACGCGAATTATATCGTCAATATATGTGCAATTAACGTACAGTTAATTTTAACGCGAGCTGAAATTGATTTTGCTCCAGCAGAGTCCTGATTTGCAGAGTAACGTCGATTGACTTGATGCACCAAATCTGACTGATTGATGCTACAAAGACCTTTCCTTGTTTACATCGGAATATGAGTCTAGCTTTATTCAGGTCTTTTATCGTTTGAATATGTAGGCATCCCTCCAACGTGTACACCTCTAATTTGTCATGCACAATACCGAGCAGATAAGGATCGTCCCACGCTAAAACATGGGATGAAAATATGATTACATCACAATTGCAGTTACAGAGGAAAAACAATAAAGTCTGTTTCGTACTTATTGCACCAGGTGTGTCAGACCATTTTACAGGATTATGCTGAACCAGTTCTCCTTTTGTATCCATAATAAACGACTGAGAATCTTTCCCCAGTACAAACGAACTATCTGATAATTTTGTGATGCTTGGCTCTGGAGATTTGCCAGTGGGGAAAAGTTCTTTAGCCTTGCCATTTAAATCAAAAATAGTATAGGACAATCCACGAAACCCTAATATCAATGTTTCACCACACCTAAGAAATTAAAATTTGATAGTTAAAAATTATCGTCTATCAAAGCTATCATGTCAAAGTTGATTTTCAGTGGTTTGTCTCAGTGTATATTACCATGATAGTTGCCGTGGTATATCTGGTACAGTCAACTCAAAGTCTTTAAATTCCTCAAACTTCTTTCCCTTCCAATAATATAGCTGTAATTTGCGTTTGACAGCAACACACAAGCGTACCACAGTGTTCTTTTCCCCTGTCAGACTCTGGGTTGACTGAACATCCAAGGTAAACAAGGTGGCACCTCTAGTCTTTTGTAATTGACATATTTGTTGAAAGTTTGGCGAATTCAAGTCATGAATGCATACAATGTTATCTGCAATTTTTCATAGATTAATATACGACAAAAAGTATATTGTTAGACAAGCCAATATATTGTAGCATAACAGTACTCAAATATACCTGTCAGGATGATTAATAAATTGTACTCTGGTACTACATCTATCTGATTAATCCGTTTTTTGTTGAAATTCTTACTATGTCGTAATAACTCTAGTTTATAGCTACCATCAAAAACTGATGGTACATTGTACATAAGAAGGTGACCCTCTCTTGTGCCTATTAATAGGTTGTCATCTGAAAGATAATTAATATAATGAGGAACGAGAAGATAAAGATTCAATCTACTGATAAGAATACTTCCTACAGTAATCTAATTAAGTGTGATGTATGATCATATTAGTTAAATGTCAGATATGATATACTCACCGTAAGCAGCCATAGACTCGATCTGCACGGTGATATTTAACACCGACATTTCTTCGTAAGCGTCGTGCATTGTTGCTATTTAAAAAATATTGCTGATTATCGAAATTATTTCAAAAATCCTCAATTATTCTTTATTTTGTTACAGATTGACATCTGCCATGTTCGCTGCGATGTGTTGCAATGTGTTGGTTCGTTTTACCTGCACCTTCTACACTTAGAACATGATGATACGTACACACCCAAGTACACACCCAGTATTTTTCTTCAGTTCGCTGCTTTACAGTTATCAATTCTCGATTTTTATTACCATTCTATTGCAATATCATCGACATGGCGACTCGTATAGCTGTGGTACGTAAAATTACATACAAATATCAGAATAATAAAGCCAGATAAACGTCTTATTTCTATTATCAATTATTCAAACTCTCAAGTCAATTGAAATTATTATATATTTTAATAAATCAATCGTATAACTTTTACATGTAGGTAACTGGAGGAAATAAAGGTATCGGCTTTGCAATTGTCAAAGCTCTTTGCCAACAATTCGACGGTATTGTTTATTTGACAGCTCGTGATAGCAATCGCGGTCTGACCGCCGTCGGTGAATTGAAAAAACAAGGTTTAAAATCGGAGTTCCATCAACTTGATATCAACGATGATGCGAGCGTCGCAGAATTCCATGATTATCTGAAAGATAAATATGGTGGCCTTGACGTGCTGGTTAACAACGCTGCCATAGCGTTCAAAGTAATTAAACATTTGCATTATGCATAATATGATAAGCAATTTCGATAAACAATTTCTCTTTCAAAACTCTAGCAGGAAAACTAATAAATCATATATGGTTTGTTAAACACAAAATACTTTTAGTCATATACAATGTATTGATAAATATTAGGATGTAATTTTATCTTAGATGTTTCATAAATATAAAATATCAGCCATTAATAAATAGCCATACTAAAACTCATCAATTTTGTTACAGACCGATGCTACAGAACCATTTGCAATTCAAGCTGAAGAAACAATAAAAGTAAACTACTTTAGCTTGCGCAGAGTTTGTACTGCGCTCTATCCATTGCTCAGACCACATGCCCGAGTAGTCCATGTTTCCAGCAGTGCTGGACGTCTGAGCAATATTACTGGTGACGCATTGAAAAAGAAGATAGCTGATCCAAATTTAAGTGAAGAAGAATTGGATAACATTATGCGTGGATTTGTCAAGTAGGGCTATATAATATTAAGCTGTTTGATTTTAGAATATTTTATAAATGGTTAAAGAGAATGTCTCTAAAATTCATCTTTATACGCGTTCTTATTTTTAGCGCTGCCAAGTCCGGCACTCACTTGCAAGCTGGTTGGTCAAATTCAGCATATGTGGCGAGTAAGATTGGAGTGAGTGCTTTGACTGGTATCCATCAGGCTATGTTTAACGCAGACCCGCGAGAAGACATCGCGGTGAACGCGGTACATCCCGGTTATGTGGACACGGATATGACCAGCCACAAAGGCCATTTAAAAATTGAGGAAGGAGCTATCGGGCCTGTTTACTGTGCCTTATTGCCGCAAAATACAGAAATAAAAGGAAAGTATATCTGGTTTGATAAGACATTGTCAGATTGGAAGTAACATGTGTATGAAACAGATGAATTAGTTTGCTTAGTCCACTATATACGCCTAATGCGAACAAATAAATGAACCTGATATTATATAGAATCCTGTGGTATTATGTACACTAATTCTATTACATACACTAAGTATATTACACTACAATTTTTATTGTCAAGAAAGAAATTATTGATAAAGTATATATGTGTAAATTACTATATTGTATTGGAGAGTTCTTTGTATACATAGTTGTATGCATATTTGTATACATAGTTAAATAATATTCTGTATCAAATAATACATCATTATTTTATGGAAAATATTGGAATTTTTTTTACACGCAAGTAGCGTGTATTTTGTACAATTTCACGTACTAATTTATAATTTTTGTGCTTTGTGCAAGTAGTACTTGACAAAGGTAGAATCAAAAGAATACCAATAAAAAGATAATGATAGACTTAATGAAACTATAAGTTATCTCGTTTGAACCGCTGCTTCTTTGCGCGCTGCATCCTGTAAGAGCTGGGTATCTACCTCATCTCCTGGAAGCTGTACATACCTTACCACAGATCCACGAATGAAACAATTTTTTACAGACAGCTGTAAGAATTTGGATATTACTTGCTTCGTCATTACTTGCACGAAAAACAATCATTTTTCTATGTTAATTCTATACGCACCATATGAGGGTACTTATCTGTATCTGTTACACTGATATCGGTCAATTTTATATTTAAGTACTGATCGACGGAATGCAATGTGCCACAGATACTGAAACAAAAACAATGTCCAAACATTGTACTTGTTATTACTTAAAACTATACTTGACAATTGCGCGATGTCTCACCTTAGGTCATTTTTTAATTCGACAACCACATCCTTGCCGATCAAGGACTTGAAAAAAGAATAGAATAGCTGAAATCGAAAACACGTTTAGGATACACCGAGAAATCGGTTTAAGTGAACAGCTTTATGTTACATACATGATAGTTCTTTTATACTGCGACTTACCATAATGACAATTTGTTGAGAGTATCACTGCTGTCGTTCGTATATTCTGCACTACAAGCTAACTTACAATTACTTCTTACAATGAACGCATTGTAAATAAATCGTAGCGGTAACAAACCGCTAAAGTTTAGTTAAACATGAACTACTGAACTTTATAGTTTTGCGCGACACGCAGGGTGCTTTAGAGAATTACTAAAAAGTCACTGTTCGTCACCAGAAATTCCAGCGATGCAGTTTCTCCGCGCGCGAGAACCAATACGCGTTTGCGATCACCGAAGATATCGCGCAGTTCGTGCAGTTGGTAATGGACAGGGCGTTGACATTGGTTAAAGAGACGATACGCGTGTGACATTTGCTCGACTTCACAGTCGCACGATCGGTCGCCTCCCGTCGTCGATAATAATACGGCTGAATCTGTTATGAATTGATCGTGAGAAACATGTCAATTAATCTGACGAAAAACAAAGATGCCTTAGTGGCCGCTTGGCACAGCGTGGTCGACGATAAGTTGTCTACTAACTGGTAGGCATACATTTAAGTTCGTTCTGTTGGTTCGGCGGACACGTCGAGAAGCGGTTTCGGCACGCGTATGCACCTACATATGATCATTAAATTTGCCGGTTATTTTTCGCAGCTATTGGGCTTACAGTGTTGGATCGAAGTGTTCGTACGCTTGCCCCGCAAGCTTTATTATTTCACGTAAATAACGAACCGATGATAAGCACTTCCGTTCTTATCAGTCCTGCCTATCTAAATGACCATGGCTTTTTGTTAAATGAGCGATTAAGTTTGCCCCCCTTTTCACACACTAGACATGTTATATTTTCTATCAGTCTTTGTAATATTCTCTTCGATGATTATATGCTTGTCTCTCCTTGAGTTCAGCTATTACGATGCGGCTAAAAGGGACTATTTTTAACAGGGCTGTGTTTGGATATGAAGGACAGACAAATAACTTAAAAGTAGTTGGGACAGGAGATGGAGGATTGGAAGAGATGATTGATCGATTGAGTAGTAGTCATATTATGTATGCATTTTGTAAAGTTATTGATACTAAAACAAGTCTACCAAAATGTTTGCTCATTAATTGGGTAGGTACAAGAAGTATTGATATAATCAATGAAAGAAAAGTCTTATGTCTCGTATATTTCCACAAAATAACACCAACAATAACAAGCATTTTTTACGATACATGAAAAGATATTTTTCTACAGCAGGGAGAAGGTGCTCCAATTGTTAGAAAAGGAACATGTGCAAATCATATTAGAGATGTAGAACGATTGTTGAAGGGCGCGCACATAACGGTAACTGCGCGCTCCGAAGATGACGTAGAAGTAGATGTGATCATGGAAAAACTTGCACGTGCGACAGCTTCTGCGTATAAATTTAATGAGCCCCGTGGCGACAATGAAGGACACACAGGTCCTATTGGAACAACATATCGCAGGTACGTATACCTACCTACTTAGTGTAAAAAAAGACAGCTGAAGTCTAAACAGTTGTATAGATGCATAAATGCATATCTCAATTACGTTAACTTGATGTGCTTTGCAGAGTAATTCCGGAACAGGAAATAAATGCAACGGAAAGAGATCAGTTTTGGCAAAAGGAAGAGATGGAGGAGAAAAAGAGACTGGAGCAAGAACGAATTCGTTGCGAACAAGAACGACAAAGGCTAGAACGAGAAATTAGAACTCGTGAGGAGAAGGAGGCGCAATTGAGGGAGCAACAGGTACGTTGTGATTCATGTCTCAAGTTTTGTACCTCTCACTTGCCCCTCGAGTGTCATATTACACAGACCTATCGTCTTCTCGCAGGTAACCGCCAAGGAAAATACAATCGCGCGACAAAAGTTGGCGGAACAACGTGCCGAAGAGGCGAATAACTTGCGCAATCAATTGGCCGCGAGTCAAAACTACAGCAACGACGTCGAGGACGATCATAAATCACGAAGCGAAGAGCTACGGAGGCAGAGGAGCAAAGAGACTCAACAGTTGATAGCTCAAAGAACGATTAATGCCAGAGCCGTGTTCGAGCAGAACTCGGCGGCCGGTCAGATGAAGACAACATCGGCCCAACAACAGTTTATGCCCAAGAGCAATCACGTAGAGTCCGTGAGAAAAGCGTTGGAAGAGGCTCAAATAAAAGAGCAACAATCTCCGGACGCGAAGCCTCGCGAGGAAGAGCCGGCCGAGGCGAAGAAACCTGCGAACGTGGAAACAGTGACGATTTACTCATCGGCAGTGCCTCCTCAGTCGCAAAATACTACCAGCCAGGAGACGAAAGCGACCAATCCGCAAGCGGAATCTACGCAAGCCGCCGAGACTAAAGAGGAAATCACGGAGAATGAATTGTACAATCCGTTGGATGGCCCGTATTTGTACTTCGATCCGAACAACGAGGGTATGAAGGCCAGAGCGTTGTACGATTATCAAGCCGCGGACGACACGGAGATCACTTTCGATCCGGGTGACATAATCACGCACATAGATGCCATCGACGAGGGCTGGTGGCAAGGGCTCGGCCCTGACGGCACTTACGGACTCTTTCCCGCTAATTATGTCGAAGTTATCGAGTATCACAACCCGACATGATAAGATGCGTGTTGCTCGACGGAGAGATTTGATTGGGGTCGTTGTTTTTCCGTTTCCTCTGTCCGCATAAAGCCGCTTGCATGTAAAAACCGATAAATCGCGCGTTCGCACTTCCGACGCGACAAATGCCGCTTCATTTCTAGATATAAACCACACGCTGAACCACATGTGACGTAAACCAGCAATTCCGAACGATTAGAGAGTGTCTTTCGCAACGTGCCGTGCACTCCAAACGGCTAGATGTTTTTGGAGATGTGCTTAGGGTGTCTAACGGTTAAGATGCACGCCCCTGTAACGCGTTTTGCGCCTTCCACTGTCTAATCCTCGAGAAGTATACATATATATACATACACATATATATATATATATATATATATGTATATATATACACCAGTTAATATTTTAATTAGTAAGATCTCGGAAGCCAATTCAAATGTTAATCCTGACTGCGGCGAAGCATCCGTCTTCCCGAGAGGTTTTACAGATTTTATCCAGTAACTAACCGGTACGTTACATAAATATATCTTTTTATATCATTCTATATATCAGACGCCGATGTAGCAATAGTTGTGACGCATTTTTTGACAAGTAGGAAAGAAAAGAAAGGAATAAAGAAACTGTGTCACCACGGTATCGTAATAGTTACTTAAGCATACAACCATTTTTAGAACAATAAATACCATAATTGTAATTATAGTATAACTATTAATACTATAATTTGTTACAGTACTTTGTTTAATAATACGAAGAATTTAGCATTAAAGTACCCACACGTACGTGACTCTCTCTTTTGTATCATTTCTTGAAAAACTTGTTTGTTCCATCAATCCTATTCTTCTCTCTTGTAAACCAGAAGTACGAAATCTGCTATAATCGATGTGTTAGATACAACAAACTTAATTTATTGTACGAAGTGTAAGGAAATTTTTACAATTAATAACATAGTAGTGAAACAGAATATATCGTCATGATGTCCGTATTATTCTGATAAAAAAACAAGAAGAATCATCTTCGGTAATTTGGATTCTGTCCGCCACCTGTGCCACCTGCGTGACTCAGGAAAGCCAAGTGTCCCTTCGGACACTTGTTGGCATAATGGCCCTTTTGGCCACACTTATAACATGTTACTTCCTCCAGAGGCTTCTGCGGGCCTCGCGGAGGCGGCGGTCCGTTGTGCATATGATGATGCGACGTATGAGAATTATTTTCAATCTCTTGCCTGACTTGAGCCTCTCGTACATCTGGCGGCATTTTGTTGCAGTAGATTGCCTTGTGACCACCTTCGCCGCAGAAGTGACATGTGATCATCACCTTTTTACCTTCCTTTGGTTGCATGTCCTGTACTGCTGGCAATTCGAATCTTGGACTATAAGTTGTAGAGAAAAAATGTTAAATAAGTTTCCATACAATGGACAATATGTATGTTTGTTTACTTTGCATGTATATGTCAACTTACTGCATAAACTTGCAATTTGACCCTTCTGGGCAGAAACCAGCTAAATAAGCCATACAAAGAACACGTCTGACGTGACGATGTCGACACAAAGGACCATGCCTGCAGAAACCACGGTCGTACCACGGACAATCTCTGACCTTAGTCTCAGGATCAATGTGTAAAAATGGACATTCCTTATTGTGGCATGCATCTGCAAGTTTTTATATATAATTCAGTCACAAATTGTCACATATGATTTAGATATACAGTATCCAAATATTGTTACAAACATTGTAACCAAACATTTAATATTTTGTATGATAAGGAATTACCATACTAAGTTATGATGCAAAACATTCAGTAGAAGAAATGATTTGACAACCATCGTTGCATCAGGGGGTACTTACTGAATCTAGAGTAAAAATAACATTCTGGCATTTTTGTCATGTCATATTCGTGTAGAAATTCACACTGATCGCCCTTTTTACAAAGACCTCTCAACCAATGTTTGCATACTATCGTGCGGTCACCACGGACATGTCTGAATGGGCACGAAGCTCCCTTAACGCAAGTGCCTCTCGGATAAAACTGACACACTGCAGCAATCGACTCTGGAAATCAAAGAGAGTAGCTGCACAATCATTGTTCTTTAATATATAATACAAGCCTGTTGATCT